GGTTCTAGGAAAAGAGCAGACTAATAAGTTGGTAAGATGATTGTCATTGCCAGTAGTAACCAATGTATCATCCAATATGTTTCCGAGCTGGAGTCGGCCTCCATTCTTCTTCTTCCTCCTGTAATAGACCTGTCATTCCTCTTCCGAAGATTGACTCACCTGATCTTGGGTTAATGTGTGTTGGAGATGTGCAGATTGTTGAACATTAGAAGCAACTACATGTTGTACCATATGCTCTGTTATTGGATGAAAGGAGCACTCTCTTGTGTCTTGGCATGTAAGTGAGTCTTCTTCAATAACAGTGGGTGGTATGAGCACAACTGGATCTGTACCTGTAGTATGTTGTTCTTTCTTAGGAACTGCGGTGTTGGGAAGATGATCGAGTTGCATCTTTTCAACAAGGATAATAGGTGAATGTTCTTTAGTGATATTCAGCCTTAGATGAGGATGCAAACAATAACAAATAGCAGAGCTGTGACCAAACATACTACAATGAAAGCAATAAGGAGGATGTGGTTCAATTTCAACCTTTTGCTAATATCCGTTGTGAAGGAATAGTGTCAATTCATATCTCATCCGGAGCTGGTTGATTGATATATCTCTCAACTAACACACAAGCCACAGAGAGTCTAATGATAATAAGCGTAGGACTATCCACCTTGAGAGACTTATCATAAGCAGTTGCTAAAGAGTAGAGGATTTCCATGTTGAACAGATGTAATTTTAACCCCGGAAACTTTATCCAAACAGAAATGATAGGGGACTCCGCTTTTGGATCAAAACTGACAGTCCACTCCATTTAGAATGCTCATAAAACGATTGTCAATCTTGATAACTTTTCGAGAGAAAATGCGAATGTAGTCAACATCATGAGATAGCTGAATAATTATATGTCTATCGTCAAGTAGACCAATGTTCCAACTGCCCAATAGTTTCATAGTGTCAAACTTCTTCCTAATAATCTCCAGTTTTGGGTGATCATAAAGGAATTTCTCCACTAGAGAAAAACGCCAAGAGGACGCGAGAGCACCGGTTTCAGCTTCTGTGAGAATAAGTGCAGGCTTTCCAATTTTTTTTTATATATATATATATATATAATAAAATGTCATGGATTAGAGTGAACGAGAAATAAAATTCTTTACAGAATTCTACAAATTGCATCAATTGAGGTAAATGCTTTCCACTGATATATCGAAACTTGACTTAATTATAAGATGGTGTTCCTAGTTATTTTCAAAGTTGGTTTTGTTGAGAAGCCATCTTCTTACTCACAGTGAATTAATGAAAGAATGCACTCTTTACATATCTTATGGCTACAGCGTTATCTTTAGCAAATGCACCATGAAATTCACAGAAGCTTCTCAGCTCAAAATCATCATTTCTATTCTTCCGACATTAAAACTATTATCCTTTCTAGTTTGTTTGTCAAGCACCATGATTATGAGATTTTTTCAATAAAGTACAGCGCGTAATACTTCATTAGCAGACAATTAGGTTAAGCATATTTTTATAGATAAGAATCAAGTTAACAACACTACATTAGAATCAAATATTAGCTCTGGTAAGTGTTTGTGCTTCAATTAAGGGAATTAATGCCTCTTTTCTCATCTAAACAAGATTTTCATAGTCTTAATTGTGGACTGCTCATTTCCCTCTATTCTTCTTAAATGATAAATGATACCTTTCATTTTCTCAAGAATGGGACCGACTCATTCTCTCAAGCTTTGAGTAGGTGGGAACTGGTAAAGGTTTCACATTTCATAATCAGGCTTTCCGAAGTTTTAGATCACTTTTTATTATCGTAAACAACTGCTACTTGGCTTTTGAAGTAAGAGCGGTGCTGTTATCATCTATGGCTTTGATCACGCTAAATGTGTCTTTGGAGTAGTATCTATTGAAAATAAAGTAGTTATATACCACACAATTCTTATGTATTTACACATCAAATACCTAAATATTTATATTTACATGCATGCCACTCAAATCCTTAACATCACATAGAAAATGTCACCATCACTATCTTTTCAAAAGTGAAATACATCTTTTCGTGCATAGATATTTAAATAGATAAGAATTGTGTGTTATTTATGTAAATTTCTCTAAAGGTAGTTGTTTTAATTTTAATGTGGGTATTAAAAAATAAAGTGGAAGGATTGGGTACTAAAGGGTTGAGACAGATAAATTGGATAGAAATCGTGAAAAAAGATATTTGCAAAGTTGAATGTTCGTGCGGTCCCAATTAGTTGAGATAAGGCTAATGATGATAATTATAGTGAGCAAGTACGGAGAGAATCCAAAACGGGTGCTCTTTGAATTAGGAGAAGAAGGAAATTGTTCATTGCATGGGGATGTTTTTTTTTTTTTTTGGGAAGGAAATGAAATAATGATTATCATGATTAATTCAAAGATTGTTTTTTATTTGAATTTTAAATTTCTATATATTTTTTTTCTTTTTTCAAGTTAATATAGAAATCAAATTTGTAAGGATATCAAATATCCTAAAAATATAGTATTATTGTTCTTGATTAATAAGAAATTTAAAAAATATACTACTCTCCAACCTTCATTGTATCAAATTCTAGGATTGGTCTAAACGACCTGGTGGAATTTTGTAATTGTGTACGACAATTATAGTTTCGGCTGAACCATCAGCAAACAACCGGCTTTCCAACAAACTATTGCAAAATTTCATGTTCCTTTCAAGTAGTGTGGGTGGGTGTTTGTAAACCAATTCAAATATGGAGAATCCTTCTCAAAATTTGAATTAAAATCAGTGCTCTGGTATTCTAAACAATGAAAGCGGTATGTTACCGTTGATTTTAGCTCCTAGAGACTGTCTATGAACCCTAATACACCATCATGATTATGCCAAATGAAGTAGTGAAACAAGCATGGTCAATATATTTGGACTAACATTACCAAGGAATCCACCATCTCATGGCGAACAATTCGAATGTTTTATATAAAGTCTTGACTTCAACCTAAAGTGAATCTGTGACTAAATATCCTTTTTCATGGAAATTCCACTCCTTAAGGTCGGTAAGTCCAATCTTGTCATCCCATGTCGAAGTTTGTGTCCTAAAATTTTTCGTCCACTTTTCTTGCTCTCTCTATTGAAATTTCTATTGTGTAATCGTGAACTTGCCTAAAGAGAAGCCTACATTTGGTTAAAAGTGGGTGTTTTCATTAAAGCTTAAATTAGACAGCTCTTGAGAGTTAAAGGGTGTGCTCAAACCTATGGCATGGACTACTTCAAAATATTTGTACTTGTAACAAAATTGAATAGTATATTCATCTTACTATCTATTGCATTTAATTATAAGGGATAACACTATCTATTGCAATTAATTATAAGGGATAACACTATCTATTGCAATTATTTATAAGGGATAATTGGTTATCAGAAATGCATATCTCATTTTGTAGCTAGAATTCTACAAGGAACCCCTTCTTTGATTCGAAAGGATTAGATATTTCATCTAAACTTAAACGATCTTCAATTTATGTTTGAAAATTTTAACCAACCTATAAAAATCAAATATATAAAGATGCCCAATTTCATCCGAATACATTCTTGAAACATTGAATTGAAAAGAAGGTAACAATCTTTATTGTTTTTAGTGATGACTTCATGTTGACCGGTGATGATGTTGCTGAAGTTGGTTTGCTAAAGCAGTAAGAATTTTGGAGACTTCAAATATTTTTTAGAGATGAAAATAAAAGATTTCAAAGAAAAACAATATGGTGTCTCAAAGTAAATATATTTATGCTTTTATCACTATAAATTTGCGTGAAGACAAAGATGGAGAACTTGATCACTTGTTACCATAAATTTGCGCGAAATTAATTTATTTATTTCACACAAGACTTGACGTAGTCATTGTTGTGAGTTTAGTAAGCCATTTTATGCTCTTAGCACTATAGAAACATCTATAGGTCACTCTTAATGTTGAGTTACTTAAGAAGTTGCTCTTGAATAATGCTATTTTTAAGAAAATCACTTGTAGCAATAATTATAACCAGTAATGTCGAGATTGATCAGCACTTAATAAAGCAAATACTTGAAGCATTAATTATTTACATTCTTTATAATTCCTAGCCATCAATACACCATAGATATCCTTACAGAAGGATTGTTGAGAGAATCTTTTCCGCTGTCCTCTTATTGTGAGGTTATAATTCAATGTCTTCGTATCTCAATTCTCTATTACTTGTTATAAAAGAATAATGAAAGATTTACATGCATACTACTCAATTCTTGTGTATTTACATATCTAACACTTGAACTTCAATTTTTACGTATATGCCACCTTATCTATGTATGAGGTGTATTTCATTTTTTAAAAGTTAAATTTGAGGTAGTTTTTCTGTGATATGAAATATTCCGGTAGTATAAATGTAAAAGACAAAGTTTAAATGTTAGATATGTAAATACATAGGAATTCGATGGTATGCATGTAAATGCCTCTAAAAGAATGTGTGGCACATTCGGATCGTGAGTCTCCAATCAATGCATTGTATTAAGTTCTGCTGCATACGTTCTTACTTGGCACTATAAGTGTTGTCGTACGCATTTTTACTTTTACTTGGTACTATACTCAAGTTTTTTTTGAAATGGGAATTTTACATACTTAACACACAATTCTTATGTATTTACATATTTCACAACTAAAATTTTGTATTTACATGCACGACACTTTAGTACTTTAAACCTATGCATGAAAAGATATATTTCACATTTCAAAAGCTAAAATGGTGGTATTTTTGATGTGATATGAAAGATTTCGGTGTTATAAATATAAAAGCTAAAGTTTAGAAATCAGATATGTAAATACATAGCAGTTGGATGGGTGTTTGTGTGAATGTGCCCTTTTTTTTTTTTTTTTTGGCTGTTGTTGAATCCATTTTGTTTCAATCTTCTATTTTTTTTTTCTTCTGGTGAATCAGTGTGGTTATATGTTAATCTGGCATCTAAACTATGTTTCTGTGATTATAATCAGGCTGCAGAGATATTAGCAAAAGATGGAATTAGTGCTGAGGTAAGAATTGTTAGTTAGGATATTTAGCATTTTCTTATACCTTATTTGTTTGCTCAACAAAGTTAACTCTAAGAGATGAAGGTTATAAACCTTCGTTCAATTAGGCCACTAGATAGAGCCATGATAAATGCTTCAGTCAGGAAAACAAACCGGCTCGTGACAGTCGAAGAAGGGTTCCCGCAGCACGGTGTTGGCGCGGAAATCTGGTTAGCTGCATCAAGAAAGGCCGATATTTTTTAATGGGAAATTTACATACGTGGTTCAAAATTCTTATGTATTTACGTATCTCACGCTTAAACTTTCATATTTTCATGCATAGCATTTTGGTGTTTTAAACTTATGCATGAAAATATACATTTGATTTTTAAAAAATGATAATATTAATATATTCTATGTAAATATGAAAGTTTAGGCATGAGATATGTAAATATATAAGCATTGTGTGCTATGTATGTAAAGGCCCCCTTGATTTTTGGGTCATTTACATTCATATCACCCAATTCCTTCGTTACATATTTAACACCTAAACTTTGCTTTTCACATATATAACGCTCAAATTTTTCATATCACATCAACAATATCACCATTGTAACTTTAAAAAGGTGAAATATCCCTTCTCATTGATGTTTATAACAATGAAGTTTAGGGTTTAGATATGTACATACATAGGAATTGGGGTGGTATATAACACTACACCAGCTTATGTGAATATTTGTTTCTTTTACAGTGCTTCAGTGATTGAGGAGAGCTTTGAATATCTTGATGCACCAGTTGAAAGGATTGCCGGGGCTGATGTTCCAATGCCTTATGCTCCAAATCTTGAAAGGCTGGCAGTGCCACAGGTAATTTGGCTCGAATATCGCTTATGTCAAACGGATTATGCGGGTTGTGTTTGGGTAAGTGCGTTGAAGGCAGGCGGGATTTGGGTTTGACCTTCTGACCTACTTAATATATGAATCAGATTCGGATCACGACATTTTAGGTTTAATCATAACCCGACACGTGTATTCAATTTAACCTAGGATTTCGAGCCAAAGGAAGAGATTGACGCGAAATCAGCTCGAATGACTGTTATATCATATGTTAAATGTGTTATACATCAGGTTTGGGTCAGTGGGTTGAAATCAGGTCGGGTTCAGGTTAAACTTTCTGACTCGCTTAATATTAGGGTTGGGTTTTGATAAAACAATTTCAGAGTCAAACCCGAACTTGTAATGCAAATCCGATTTGACACTCATAACTGAATTGATGATATATCATTTAACTGAATCATTCTCTAAACTTAGTCTTATGTCTAAAACATTAGTAAAAGTCAAAATCTACAATTTTTAATGTACTCTTTTAAAATCTTTTAGGTTGAGGATATTGTTCGTGCTGCAAAGAGGGCCTGCTATCGGGTGGTGCCAAATTCTGCAGCAGCTTAGCTGCAGCTGAATCTGTACATTTTCAGAGCAGGCTTTGAAATTTAAATGTTACAGACTGACATGAAGTATGTCTGCTTAAATAACATTAACGTGAGATATATTTATATGTTTTTTTGGCTAGCAATTAACATGCTGTTTCTGTTCAAATAATATGCCAATGCAGTGCATTGATATAGATAAAATGTTAGCATTTCAGAATTTTCCTTTTAGAAATAATGATATTGTTATTATTATTTAAGTGGTCCAATGTTACACATTCTGAGTAATGTGAAAACAGTTATGAGAACTGAAAATTTGAAGTTTTCATAAGTTTTTCTGTTTTAGATTTGATGTGATGGGCGGCAGTTAAAAGTTAAAGAGTATATTTATTTGGGTATCTATGCAAGTAGGCTATTAGTTGAAGAGTCAAAAAGATTTAGAAGATTTCAAAATCAGTGAAAAATGATATTAATTATGTTGAATCCTGTTGTTTCTGTGAGGGAAAGTGCACAATAATGAACTGTAAAACGACTTTTCTATTTCATAGAATGATTTTCTATTTATAAGCAAGAGGTTACAATATGTGAAGTTATATGTTTGTCTTTGCTTTTATTTTGCATGTATGAGCCTATGGCTTTTTACCTTCTGACTCGATCGTTTGAGCTCAGTTGTTCTTGGTTTGGCAAGGCCTTATGTTTTTTTATGTTGAGTCAAGATTGTCAGTCGGGCTTCGATGAACTCGTGTTGGCAGGACTGTGGCTCGATTGGTTAAACTTTGTCGATCAACTTATCTAGTCTGACTGTCAACCTTTGATGTCTAATGGGGAGCTCTTGTTGGTCGAGTGATGGTAGGTTATCGAACAAAGGGAGGATCACTTTAGCTGAAATGTAGCTCACTTCCTAATAAGGAGAACCAAATGGATGATTTTGATGTCTTGTGACTTGGTTACCTTTTTGTCCCTAAAAGAATGATAAGCCTCTCAGGCGTCTGTGGTATGATTGATGGTATGGATCATTTAAGTCTTTTCTCGGGTCTGATCTATCGAAAGGTTGATTGTCAGCTTCAATGGACTTTCTTATGTTAGTTGGCACATGTGTCTATCTGTCTTTTCTTGGTCACACGAGCTACCTCTTGGACGCCTTGCTCGGATGGTTGCATATAGTCAGCTTTGGCTTCAGTTCAGATTGCTACGTTCGGTTAGGTAGTCAGGTTTCCCGGTCTTCTGTTGTTGGGCTCTCCTTAGCTCTACTTTTCTGTCTCCGGTTATTTAATTTCATCGAGATTTATGGCGGTGCATTACGATTTACAAATTCAATGGCTGGAGGTATGCTATTTGTATTTATAAATCAGGGTGATCTAGCATTTACAGTTTGATTAATCCTTGGTTAGGGCATAGGATTTAGTCGGAGGAAGAGATCGTAGGGATAATTTTGGGTTTGATAGTTTGATTCATAGGGTAGCTCAATTTTTAATAAGAGTATTGAAGATCTTGTTAGGAGCTACGGTTCAAGGGATCAAGAGAATTCTAGCATGTAGAGGTATTAAAGTTGACCATTGAAGATATGATGAATGCTAGAGTCGCTAAAGTCCAGTCCAAAGAAGTATACTCTATCTTGACATAGTGTAGATCAAAATGTGACTCAGTGGTTATAGTATGATGTGATAATTGTTAGAGGCCTACATGATTAAAGAGCACTACTAGAGAGGATTTGATCACCCTATGTAGCTTTAAGAAATTGTGTCATATAGCCAAACCTTTAGAACGAGTTTTAGCTGTGATGCAAGCCTGCGAGTCAATCAGGGAAGGTAGCTCAGTGTAGTAGTCATTCGAATGGAAACCTTCTCGACGATTTCGACAATGGGAGACATAAGAAAGTTGTCTAGTTTGAATCAGAGGAAAATAAATAAGCATAGAGTAAGTGGGTTAAAGCTAGGGAGATGGTGACACTCTGCATTGAAGCCATGAAGTAAAAAACATCATTTTTGCTTGCATGAAATCATCACCGGCGGGCGACTAGCTAGTAAGCTGACATCTATGCAAAGAGCGTAGGCTCGTGCGTACGGCTTTGACACATGCATGAGAAGAGACTGCAATGTGCGGGTAGGGGTGTGTGGTGAGAGTTAATGGGTTTTATGTTGTTAGTTATATTAATTATTTTAATTAAAAATAATGTTAAATTAATATCAACTTTTAATGTATTAATTACAATGATTAAAGTTGAGAATCAATTAAATTAAAGGATAAAGAAGAACGAGATCGGTGATTGTGAAAAAGAGGAGGAGATAATTGAGATAAGTCGAGGTTTTTCACTTCTTAATAATAGTTGGTAAATTGAAAATGTGTTAAATAATTAAATAATTTTTTTTTTTAATTAAATCAAGAATCAAAGGCAGATTAAGGCTAGGGTTAGGAGGAAGAAGGAAGTTAATGACAATAGGGGTTAGTGTTTAATTGAAAATTCATTTATAGTTAATTTAATTATAAATATTTAAGTGTTAATATTAGGATTGTTAATTTTTTAGAAAGAAAAAAAGAATATTTGAGGTAGAGTTTTTTTTTTTTATGTATAAATATTTTTAAAGTCTAAATTTTAAGAAATAATATATAGTTTTGGTTGAAGGATAATATTAGGTAGAGGATCAACAAAGTGATTAAATAGAGAAATAAATATATATCTTATTAAGAGTCACTCTCTTATGGTATTAGCTGGGGACAATTCTGTACTCGGGCATAAAAATGAAAATGATTATATCTTAAATGGTACAAATTTTTTAAGATCCATCTGAGATTATTTATTAAAAGAGTAGAAATGTAAAATATAAACGACTAAAAATAATTTAATAATTGTTTTTTTTTACTTTAAATGAAAATGTGAAGCTTATTTTATAAATTAAGCTTCTTTTGAGCGTTTATGTATAATTATTTGCATAATTATTTAATGTATACTAGTATTGTAAATATTCATCATGTTGATGTAAACTTAATATGTTATTTAAATATTTTTCTAAAAGAAAAGTTTGTTAGATTAATATGATTGATATAAGAGAGTTCACTTACAGAATGGGGTTAGTTGTTGGATATAAGTAGCAGATTGTTTGGTTTCTAAGTTTAATCACTTTTATTTTTATCAACATTTCAACCTGGATGATCTTATGTATTTGTCAGAAAATGTTTTATATATCTTGTGAATTAGTGGTTTTTTTTTGTCAGATATTTATAGGGATTATTGTTAGTATTAGGTTGTTATGGTACTACCATCTGATCATCTGTTTTAGTTTTGATTAACTCCAATCTCCTAGGCCGAGTTATGACAATCGACTAGAATGCCCATAGAGGCAGCTCATCCAGAGTTATCGACCAATGATAGTGGACCAAGATGGTTGAGCCAACTTGCCCAAAAAATCAATATGCAAGACACATGCAGTGAGCTCTATGATGAGTTCTCCTAGACAATTAGAATGACATTGCCAACTAGCCTTGGGGCCAAATAGGCCGACATATGTGTTGTTGAAGACATAGCACAAAAGATGAACCGTTTATGTAGGGAATTTTTACCCAAGAGAGGCATTGCAAAGAAGAAATTATATTAACTAGCTAGTAAAGATAAATCAACATGGGTAAAACGTGCTAGTCCATATGGCTTATCTTCACAAAGCCAGATGAAAGAAAATTATGAATCTAAACTATATATCTTGATATTCACATTGATTGAATTGTTTGTACTCTGTAACATGTCTTACGCCCCTATCGATAAATGAGAGTAGCATCAACAGAATATGGGAGGACGAACATTCAATATACTCATTTCCTCTCATTTTTTCTCTCCATTCTCTAGAAACATTATAAAGATGTGGCGAGCATTAAGCATATCACAAACAAGAAAAAGATGTTGCATGCATTTTTAAATCGCTAAGGTATCAATTTTGCTAAATTAATTGAAATATAAACTGACTTCATCTACTTAAAAAAATTAAATTATTTCCTTAAATTCAAAAGTGGCTTCTTTTCATTGCAATTTATAAAAGCTTTCTTTTTTCACCTTTAAGATATATACATGTAAATTGGGCCGTACGACATGTGCGTGTCTGCGCAAAATATTGACCCGCTCATTATAAGATCATTTTATAAAAAAGAAAAACGTATCCATCGCTGAATTGCTCAAAATAATATATGATATTTTTATGTTATTTAATTAACATAAAATAAATCATTTTAATTTGCCAAATTAATATTGGAAGTATTTGTAATTAAATGTATTAGAAACATCGAAACATTGTTTGTACTTATTGGGCTGATTGCCATGTAAAATAAAATATAAGTTTATCTAATATGTATAAATATAATTTTTTCAGCTAAAGTATAACTTCATAGCAAATTTTTATTATAAATTTTACCGTAACATAATTAATTATTTTTTTAATTTTTTTTTAAAATATAAAATTCAGCCTATTAAGTTTTGGTGCTCACTGCAATTATTGTAATTGGATTCCGATGTCAATGCGGTTAAGGAGCTTTTCATATTTGTTATGTCATGGTATCTTTTACTAGTCCACTATGAAAAAACAATAATAATAATAATAAATAATCTCTCTCTCTTTCTCTATTTTATATATATATATATATATACACGCCTCGTACTTCGGCCTGTTGATTGACATACGCCTGCAATTCTGCGTGCATATGACCCTAAATAATCTTCCAATTATTGGGGGTTATTAAAAGGTTATTGGAGATATTAACCACAATAACATCTGAATAACCTCCCATCTTTTTCCGTGCATATGATCAGCGCTCATCTTTTTCTTATTATTAGAGAGTTTCTTGAGGTTATTGAGGATATTAATCCAAATAACAACGACATAACTCTGCAATGCCCTCTAACTAACTTTCATACGCAATGACGTCCCTAAATATTTTTCTGGTGTAAGACTCATCAGGTTAAAAGTTTGAATCATTTTCTGGCAACGTGAGTCTTAAGAAGAATGGTACGTGAATTATTAGACACAGTAGGAGTGGTTGGATACTCACATGATAGCCTAGTCAATCATTTATATTAAGATAAAAATTGTAACACGATAAAACATAATATTGATTAAGTAGTATATTTTTAGAAAAATTCAACTGCAAGTCTAAACTTTTTGTATGGTTGTTGTTAGAATTTTTTTATTAATTTTTAGATGGTGACTTAAATAAATATCATATAATATGATTTTTCAAGTACTTACTTATTTAATATTTAGTGTTTTATATTTTTTATTTAATATTTAAGTGTAATAATTATATCAAATGATTTGCATTTAAACATATAAAATGCTTTAAAAATCAATGTTAATGTGAATTTCACTTTTTTTTTAATATGAAAAATAAATAAAATAAGAAAGCCAAAAAAAAAAAAAACAATTAATATAAAAATTGAAAAGAGTGTACAAGGAATGGCAATAAAATCAAAATATAAATGGTGACTAATGATATTTTCACCCTCAATTACTTCAAATTGAAGTGCATCTTCCGCCAGGTTTCTCAGCCTTCATTTCTTGCTTCGTGAGATTATCTGCTTTTGACCAGAGGGCGGTCAGCGGAGAACATTGAAGGATTTTGAAACCGAGGAGTACACAGAAAGGTGAGAACACAGAGGGGGGGAGAGAGAGAGAGTGGAGGGGAGGGGAGGGGAGGGAAGAAGAGAGAGAGAGAGAGTGGAGCGAGAAGGAGCCTTCTTCTCTCTCTCTTCTTCTCGAAGGGATTTGCTCCTCTGTCTGGTCAATATAATAGCTTCTGCTGCGTATGCTTTAACTTTCTGTTTACTTTCTTGGTCGCGGTTGGGGGTTTGGGGAATGAGATCGTCGTTGAGGAAGCTGAGGGGGATGGGGCTCCAAAGGAGCGAGCTGAGGGAGAAGAGGGAGCATCAGCCTAGGGCGAAGCTGGATGAGCTCGTTCAGGCTGTACAGGTAATTGCGGCTTCTTGGGTTTTGGTTTTTTTTAGGGTTTGCTAGAGTGATAGAGTTGGATGAGGATGAGTTTCACTTCTTCCTTTTCTTCCTCCTCTTCTTCTTCTTGATTATGTTTTTTTCTTTTTTTTTTATTCGCTTTGCTTTTTTTAATTGAAGAACTGAGCTAACTTGTTGTTTTGGTGATCATAAATTCATTACTGCGTCTGGCTGAACTGTGAAAGTAGTTTAAGTAAATTGATTGATGTTTTATACTCCAGAGCTAACGGCACGAATCTCAAATAAAACGAAGCTTTCCTTCAAGCTAAGGGCTCAACCAACAATTCAATGTCAATCATGAGAAACCGTGTCTCTAAACCCGTGATAGGTCAAAGCTATGAAGGTGATTTTCTGCTCGATAGCAACAAGTAGAAGACTTCTACGGTCTATAGTATGAGTAACAATTGACACAACTAAGGAGAGAGAACCCTATCATTTAAAAAACAAGCGCACCCCTCTACTTAGGGCGCCACCACGGCTCAGAGGTTGGTTGGACCCGATCGGCTCTCTCCAAGAAATTCCGCTTGACCCACTCTCCTCACCACAACCTTCCCCTGCATACAAAGTGCCGCCCAAAGATATGAAAGAGAGCTAAATGCCCTTGTATTCTGTACACAAGGGAAGCCCTCGCCGCAAACACCCGTAGCGTACTACTCCTTCGGATCCCTCTTGGGCCAGAGGGGGAAAAAGGGGGGAGGTCAAAACATTGTCTGGGTAGTCACCTCCCTCCCAGAGATCTAGCACGGGTCTCTTCCTATGGGGCCTAAGAATTTTTTCACGCCCTGAAGCCTCAGCTTGGAAAGCAGAATGCGACTGTGAGCGAATGAAATCCTTGCCCACACTCCCGTAGGGTTCTGATTATTTACCGCGATCCTAGACAGACATAATGAGCGGGAGCAAAATCGGTTGCCACCAGAGGTGTCATGTTTTTCTCTCGGAACCTCGCGTAAGGAGGCATCGAGAGACATAATGAGCCCCACACGACCAACAACAACAACCGAACGGACGCATTGTCCTCTTGAGGCAGTTTTAGCTTCCCTCCAGAAGTTCACCCCGTTCGTTTGCAGGAAGGTTCTCTCTCGGACATCTAACTAGACTTAGGCAAGGTTCGACGCCTAACTCGCAAAAAACCCTCCCCTTCTTTGCACGAATCACTGAAAAAAAGGTTAAAATGAGGGCAATGGCCGCAAGACGACAAGAACCTGCATCAATGAAAAAACTTTTCCACCACCGGTTGTGTGAGGAGTCGTCGGATTCCACCTTTGTAAGTTCGACACACATGTTGAAAAGGCAAGAACACCCTAAACCTCCCCACCTTTATGTTGAAAAGTCCACTGTTCGCAAGGTGGGGAGACCACCTAACGAAAAGTCACTGACTTAGCTCATTGATGGGGCATCCCTTCGTTTCATTTCCAGAAAAGGAAATGAATCGCTATTAAGCAACTTTTAATGCATTGTTGATTAAAAAAAAACATTAAACGCAGAGTGGTCTCGGGACTCAGGGAACTGGGCTTGGCCAGGTGTGTTTTCAAACTCTTACTGGATAAACTCGGGGACTTACGACGTCCAAACGCTAAGAGCGGTAGTTGGAGATCACATGACAATAAATAAAGTCGGGCCATCACTCGTTCCAAACGCCCTCGTAAGACTTACGGGTCAGGGCACCTGGGGCGTCGTGCGGGCGAGGGCCACTTGGGCCGCCCCCCCCCCCCCCATCGACAAGATCCTCAAAGAGCAGCAGGGATCTCCCCAGAAGTCCTAAGTGGATGCCCCATACAGATGTCGACAAGTTCCTTAACTGGCGGGCAACAAAGGGATGAAGACTCGTGCGAGCGGACAAAGCCAGGTCAAGTCCCCGGGAGGTCTAGAAAAACCAATGGAAGCAACAATTCTAGGGAAATCGATCGGCTGTTGCATAATCAGTTAGAAATCTTCGATACCTTCCGGTCGCGAGTCGATGTGGAATTTGGACAATAGATTACCTAAGGATGACTCTCTCATTGCTAGCCACAAGATCCGCAAAAGGGGAGCGAAAGTTATCTCGAAAGCCCTGGTCATCACTCTCGCAGGTAATGACAAGATTTGTGTTGGGAGAAATAATCAATTGGAACTGATATCCACTGTAACGACAACTAGGCGTTAGCAAACGGAAGAAATAAGAGTCAACCGACCAGGGATGGTCATATTGATTTTTTTGAATCAACAGGCTAACCTTAGAGCAAGCCCCTCTAAAAGCCAATGTCACAAGTAAAAAAAAAATTCTCACGGAGCCTAGGCATTACCGAGTAGCTGGTCGATCATCGCCATGATTGTCGAGAAATTCACTCACACTACCCGACAATCATTTTCTTCTGAGGGATCAACAGGACGATTGGGTATCAAAGTACTGGATTTGGATTGGTTGAGGAACTTTGGGTCGTTAAAGCTGTGATGAACGAACAGCCGGTTAGTGTACTCGATCCTCAACCCAAGTTGACCCACTAACTCCGCGTGGAGGACAATTGACTCCAATGTCCCCCTGAGCTCGAAGACCTCCTTTTTCAGCTGCTCTTCCCTTCGTTCGGATTGCTGTTGCATCAATCTAACAAAGTTCCGATTATCACAAGCCTTGTGGAGCTTATTGGTTAGGCGGCAATTTCCTCTTGGAACTTTGATAGGTTGGGACTTTGATTGGCTCTCCCTGGCTACCGCCAGGGAGTTTGCCTTTTTCATAAAAGCAAATCCTAAGGAGACAAAAATCTGGCTTGCCTCCAGGTGCAATCGAGCAGCATGCTCGAGAAGTCGCTCATAAGTAGGGTTGTAAACAGGTCGAGCCTGTTCGGCTCGTTCGATATTGGCTCGTGCTCGAAATAGCTCGTGAACGGTGTGTTCGTGTTCGGCTTGAATAATATTTTCCAGCTCGAGTTCGGCTCAAAATTGGAGGAGATGACTCGGAAGAGGAAGATGAAGATGACTCGGAAGAGTAGAAAGAGGAGATGAGGAGGAGGAGGAGGAAGAGGAAGAGGAAGAGGAAGAGGAGGAAGAGGAAGAGGAAGACAAACTACAAACCCTAAGCTCTCGCCGCTGAAACACTTTCGTGATTTTTAGAGGAGAAGGAGCGCGGCCGAACACCTTTCGCAATTTTGAGAGGAAGTAGAAGAGTCGGAAGAGGGAGAAGCAGCCGAACCCTAAATTTATACTTATATATTATATTATATTAATTATATTACATATATTATATAAATATATAATATTTATATAAGTAATATTTATTAATAATTTGTTATATATTATAATTTATAGGATTTAAATTTTTAAAATTTGAGAAATTTTTTTATTTTAAAAAGTTTTAATTAATTACAATTTATAATATTTTATTTTATTAATATGTATTATATATGTGTTTGTGTATATTTATTTATTTATTTTTTTTCGAGCCAATTCGAGCGAACAAATGTTTGTTTGTGTTTAACTCGTTTATATTTCGAGCTTAAAAATTTATTTGTGTTCGGCTCGTTAAGCTTAACGAACGAGCCGAACACGAACTGTTTAGCGAGCCGAACATAAGTTGTTCACTAACAACGAGCCAAATTCACAGCCCTACTCATAAGAAAGTTCTTTGAGCTCCAACTGAAAAAGCCGAAGACCAAGTTGTTTTCGCCAGAAGAGGCTACATATGTTGAGTATCGGCCGACAAGGGATGTTCTTAAGACATCGAACAAGCTGACCCGCTCGTCATCAACCATCCATAGCCATCCCTCACCTCCTTTCAGTGAGCGTCAACCAGGGTCCCCTCGTTTTCTCTTTAGCGAGGGAAGGGTCGGGACATCAACACCCTCTGTCGGCTCCTCTTCTTGGTGAACGGTTTCTCCCTCTAGAGACAAACGAATGTTCTGAGCTAGATGAAGAAGCAGAGCCTGAGGAAACTTAGTGCCTTGGCCCTTGCAACCCATGTCGAATGTGTAGAGCAGCGGGCCGGACAATCAGCGAAGAAGTGACGATCGGTTCACTTGGCGCAACGGAGGAAGGATCTACAGTAGCAACCTCCCTCAGAGTTTCCACAGAGCTCGTTCTCACACCTTTGCTTTACCCTGCAATAACCGAATGAGATCGCACAATTATGGTTAACTCACCGGTCACCATGTTTTGAACGACTACCGTTGTCTCAAAAATGAAAGTTATAAATCGCCCGATACTAAGACACATAACATCAAGAATGTTATCTGTCATAAAGGTATGAAGGGAGGGATCAACCTTCAACTTCTGCCATTGCTTTTCCTCCTTCGCTTTTGCTCTGGCATTTTTGTTGGCGTCAGAAGCTCTCAAGTCACCCGGGGTCATTCTCCCTTTCATTACCCGATTCACCGTCCTTTATTGTTGTTTACTTAAAGACTGACATCACACTCTCTTCCAACACCTCCTGGATGTCTAGCAGATTGATCGGTAAGGCCCTCAGCTTGCTACCTGCTACCTCCCGCGGGTGAAGGGCGATCTTTCAGTCGCCAGATGTAGAGCCGACCATGAATTTTTTATGCTAGCTCTTGATCTTATTCTTAATGTCGAGCAAGCGAAGTTTACACTCTGGCGAAAACATGACAAACCCTTCCTTGCCGACGTTGAAGGAGAAGTAGTGACTGAAGGTGTCAATCGACCGGGGATACTGAAACGACGACAAAATATGACGAAATTCACGGTAGTCGTGATGGAGTGTAGAAGAACTTGAGCCAGAATGATCCTATATTTAGTAAGCACTCTCCTAAGCTCCGACCATAGGGGCAACCAGAGACCGTACTTAAATTGATCCTGGTAGATCACCAAATCAGGGCTCATGTCGTCCGTCGGGTGCTCTGTGGCGAACATCCTGCAGAGGGTGATCTGGGCACCCGACACATAGCGCTTCTAAAGATTCTTCACTTTAAGGTTCGTCAAAGAAGAAGAATTGGCCGCCCACACGGTGCTGAAGATCATTGGAGAATATTTTGGGGCCATCGCAATCGAACGAAAAGAACAGATGAAAATGAAGGAGAAGGAATAAGAAAACTAGAAGGGTAGAACGCAAAAGCTGGAAGAAGCGACCCCTGATCCTATTTATAGGTCGGGCACACAGATCCGACTGAGGCGACGAAGGCCCAAGACATGCTTAATAAATCGACCCATCAACCGACCTACAAACCAGGGCGCACGTGGGAACCTCCGACCACGGCTAATCGACCGAGTCACTTTTTACCATGATGGCTCATCAACACTCGGTCGGTCGCCACTTCGTCGGTCGTCTCAATTTGTCGAATTCAGGCAAGGCCGGTCAGTTATCACCCTGCTAGAATTCAAACTGTAATACAAATATGATATAAAATCCATATAATTAATCAGAGCATTCATTATATTTAGAACAGTTTCAATAACTATTCTCTTCTTTCTGTTATCGTACAAAATACGTTTTTATAAATAAGAAACAAAAGGACAACCAAATAGGGGCATGCCGTTTGGACTTTCTCCAGGTTCTCTCGACAGTAAAGTCTCAATCCATTCTACTTTCCTTCACACGACTCTAACTCTTGAGATGTGTTCACAAAGAGGCAATCTAGGATTCAACATATGTATTTAATGCAGTTAATTAGATTAGGTTTAGGACTCTTCTCTGTCAAGTTGTTAGCATGTTAAGAATGTCTTACTAAAAAAATGCCTTATATAAACTCAATCGCTAATCGAACTTCACAGCTAGGTTTTTGGGAATTATTTTCAGTAATGTTGTTTTCAGAGATTTCACCAAATCGCTCCCATAGTTAATGAATTGTATGCGGGCATTGCTAACATGCCAATTTTGTGATTGGATATGGTTATTACGGTCATTAGTTTGAGAAATAGCTCTCAGATGGTTGAATTTATGTCAGATGTTTATTATGTCTCGATCAAGAGATGTTAAATGTTTGGAGCTAGGGGTGTAATTAAGCCAAGCTGACTGGTAAGCTGGCTCGGGCTCGGATCGATAAGGGGCTGTTGAGTTGAGTTTGATAAGTTAACAAGCCAAGCTCAAGTCAATCCCGACTCATCTCGCTAACTTGTGAGCCAGCTCTTTTTAAAAAATATTAATTTAAAATGTACTAAAACACATTAAAATTCTAAATTAGCTTTAAATTATTAAAAATATTTTAAAAATGATATTTTTTTATATCATATTTTTTTTATTTTTAATCTCATAATTGCTCATTTTATTATAATACTAGCGTAAATTAAAATTGTTTTCTTTTTTTCATATTAAACAAGTAGGCTTGAACTCGTAGAAGTAAGCTCGAGCTTGAATTTAATTGATTAATCAAGGTCAAGCTCAAGACAGGGACGATTCGAGCTTGTCTGGACTCGTATACAACCTAGTTTGAGTCCAATCACTATGTTCCCATTTTGGCCTTGATTTAGCGTATGGCCATTTCAACTTTATGGCCCCAAAGAACATGATTGGATCCATTTCCAAGTTTTTTGAAAATGAAAAGAAGTATATCTACAACAAGCACTTCTACTCTGTGCTCTAAAACAAATTTGTTCTTCAACACTAATTTTATCAACCTATCTTATGGTGTTTTTTTATCTTTAATTGTGCATGTTCAGCAACTTAAATTTACTTTCAATTACTTTATTTTTAATATAAATTACAAGTGGAATGTTAAAATAGTCCATTGACAGTTTACATGTGATCATTTTAATCTTAGATTCTATTAAAGTTAGTACCTAGGCTATGTAAACTGAGGCTGAAATAGTTATTAGTGGGGGCTATTTCAATCGATTTTAAATGATTATGTTACTAAATTCACTCTTTTATAGACTTTGGGACAAAAGTGACTCCCATGCAAAGAGCTGTGGGAATATTTTGACACTTTTCTCTATAAATTACTATTGTCCCTCGTATAAATTATTCTCCAATCCATTTTTTTGAGTTTTCCAAGCATCACCTTCATCATTATCCTTTCTTCAACTTAGTTATCATTTACTTTTTTCTGCCTAGAACTTAAATTCATATAACATGGCCACCCAAAAAGTTATTCAGTGATGCTCATCAAAATAAAGGGAACCAATTCTTTTGATTTTTTTTATTTATTTTTTTTTAAATCATTTTTGGCTTCCTAAACTTAACGATGGTTTCTTTTATAGGACATGCAAGACATGAAGAGCTGTTATGATGGCTTACTATCGACAGCCGCAGCCACTGCAAATAGTGCATATGGTAAGCTTTTACTCATTCGGAGTTACATTATAGGCACCCCTTAACTTTTGAGATTTTATTTCCTTTTTCTCCTTGAATAATTTTTTTTTACACAATCATACTGCAGAATTTTCTGAAGCTCTACGTGAGATGGGCACATGCCTGCTTGAAAAGACTGCATTGCTTGATGATGAAGATAGTGGTAAGGGCTGTACATTAATTTTTTCTGGCTGTATCTTTTCATTGCAGTTTCCAATTTTTAGTAATAATCAGACGGTGGTATCTTCTCTCCAAATTAATTTTTTTTTAATATCTTGCAATTTTCTAATACTTGCAGGTCGGGTTTTATTAATGCTCGGGAAAGCACAATTTGAACTTCAGAAACTTGTTGATAATTATGTAAATTTCAATAATTATCCTAAATTATTAAAATTTTGTTGTGCATTGTGCCAATGCTTCTTATTATATATGTGCAGCGTACTCATATTATCCAAACCATTACAACACCATCAGAGTGCCTTCTGAGTGAACTTCAAGTTGTAGAGGTTTGCTCTTCTGATACTATTCGTTTCATTTCACATTTCATAGTTAGTTTTCGATATTTTCTGTTGAAAGGAGAAAAAAGGGAGAGTTTTTTATTGATTTCTTTGTTAGAGGATGTGAAACATGGAAATCAGTGCTATTTTTGTTACCTCCAACTGCTCTGTTTCTTGTTATGACTTCATGAATTTCATTTATGACCCGATCCTGTTCATAATTGACCTTAGATATGCAGAAATGTTTAAAGAAAAAAAAAAGTGAAAGATTTACATACATACCACTCAATTTTTATATATTTGCATATCTACACCTTACTTCAATTTTAACCTTCGTACCTTTTTCGTATGGATGAAAATGTGTATTCAATTTTAAAAGTTAGAAAGGTTGTATCTTTCGTTTGATATGAAAGAGGTTTTAGATATGTAACTACAGAGAATTGGGTGGTATGCTTATTGTCTGTGTACTTCAGATTTTTTCTGTTGTATTGGGGTATATACATCTTTTCTCGAAGGGAATCTTCTGTAATTTTCTAATATTCATCTACATTTTCTCATGCAGGAGATGAAACAACAATGCGATGATAAGCGGTATACTTTATTAACTCTTTTTTAGGTTGGCCATATTTGATTATTTTCCATTTTTTCTCAAATTTGCCACATTTGTGCAGAGAATATTATAAACTGATGTTAACTGCTCCTCGAGTGAAAGGAAGATTGAGAAATTCTAAAGGGGACGCAGTCACACTGCAACAGCTTCAAGCTGCTCGAGAGGATTATGAGGAAGATGCGAACCTTTTCATATTTCGCTTAAAATCATTGAAACAGGGTCAATCGAGAAGTCTTCTCACTCAGGCTGCTAGACACCATGCCGCACAGGTGCTTTTTCACTGTTTCGGATGTTGAAAATTCTACTTTTTGTCCCCCAAAGTTTAAATTTTTATACATTTTTCTGCTTGGAATTCAGTTGAATTTCTTTAGGAAAGGGCTCAAATCATTGGAGTTGATTGAACCGCATGTTAAAGCTGTGTCAGAACAGCGGCATATTGATTATCATTTTCGTGGACTGGAAGATGATTACACAGATTTTGATGATGATGGCGGTTCTTTTTGTTCCGATAGCAGCAATGATGGAGAGCTTGATTTCGATTATGGGCTGAATGAACAAAGTTACAATGCTCTCTCTGTGAATTTGATGGAGGTGGAAGAACATATTCTATTTTGCAGATATTTTTTTTATGTTGTCTCTGTTTATTTTGACAAATTTTTTTCTTAAAGTGTTTCTCTCATGCATCAGTGTAAAGCATTTCATTGTTTTTCAACACGCATTATCATTGAAGGAAAGTTTTTCATGTGAAATGATGCTAAGGACTTGTTTGGTATCAATTTTATTTGTTATTTTTGTTTTTTGTTATTTCTTTTGTTTTTAAAAACACGATGGTTAGTGTATTTATAACATATTCTTATTTTTTTTATTTCTATAAATAAATTAGCATATTTTTGTACACACTCAAAAATAACTTTCAAATGTTAAATTTTTTTTTTTCAAAACAATCGTATCTTAATCAAACATGTTAAACATGTTCTGTTAAAATAAAATAAAAATCAAAAAGTGATTCCAAATGGCGCCTAAGAGTTTTCCGAAACAATCTTAAATCTCTATGGAACTAGAAAAAGGAAGCTTAAATTTTCATATTTGCAATTCTGGTCTTCTGTTACCTCAACTTTATTATGATGCTAGGCATAACATTTACATTTGTTTTTGCATGCAGCTAGATCAAGTTGACAGTACGCCAGCAAAGCGATCATCTTTAGAACTTCTGCAGGTAAGATATCGTCAAGTTCTAAACAACTGTGGGTTCCACTGAATTTTTGTTTTGTAGTGTGCAATGAAATAGTAAAAAATCAATAAGAAAAGGGAGGAAAAAAATAAAAATGCATAATAATGAATCCTTGAGAACCCGAGTTCAGAATTCTCATGACAAGATGACTACGGAGCGGAAAATGGTTGCAAGAAAATTTTCATTGAACTCATCATGAAATCATTTATCCAAATCAATAATGAAAGTCTGCACAGTAAATGAAAAACTAAAGTGATGATAAATTTATTTTTTATTTTTGTTACATTCAAACAAATTAAAAAATTAATTTGGAAGGAGAACTGATTCATAAATGTTAAGGAGTTCGAAGGACATGAAACCTGTTTAAGTTTTCCACTCTTTCGCTGCCTTTTTTTGAATCCTTAGAGTTTACTTATGAGATATTAAGCATGCCCAAATTGAATTACTTGAATAGTTAGATCATATTGGTGATACTGTACACTTACATACATACCACCCAATTCCTATTTATTTACATATCTAAAACCTGAACTTCTTTCACTTAAGCCACCCAAATCTTTCATATCACATGAAACTTATCACAATTTTTACTTTTACAAAGTGAAAATGCAAATTTTCAAGCATAGGTAAGGCGGCATGCATGTAAAAATTGATGTTTAAGCGTTAGATATGTAAATACATAGGAATTGAGTTGTACGCAAGTAAATGTTCCTTTTAAATATTAACAAGTTCTCACTTGTTAAGTTCCACCATTATGGGTAATTATTTATTCTGATTGTTTTTCTGGTTGTCTCTGGTTATACTTTTATTACCACTACTACATGTGGTGTGATCAATTTCACCCCTGAAATTACTTCAATATTTATTAATTCAAATCTTGATAGCAGATCTTGGATTTTTATTGTCGAACCAAATCATGAAATGTGCATAAGAGCAATTCTATGCCCTCTGTTTTATGAGCATATTTGGCTATTCCTAATGAACAATGGGGGCATTTACATACATAGCACACAATTCTTATGTATTTACATATCTCAAACCTAAACTGTCACATTTTGTGCACGTAGCAATCAAATCTTTAATATCACATAAAAAATAGTGCTATTACCGCTTTTAAAAAAATGAAATACACAATTTTTTATGCAAGTATAACACGCCAAAGTGGTATATATGTAAATATAAAGGTTTATGTGTGAGATTTGTAAATGCACAAAACCTGTGTGCTATGTATGTAAATTTTCTAATTATCTTTCTTTCTTCTAAACAAAATACTTGGGTCATCATTATCACCCTATACTTGCTACTTAAAATTCATAAATTCAATCTGGTTTATTCCTATATGATTTCCTCATTCTTTTTACATGAACTTGTTTATCTGTCCAAAGCAGGAAAGTATACCAAAAAAACAGCCTGAGCCGCTACTTCGCAATGAAAGGCCAACTCTAAGCAGCCAATCAGCCCCAATTTTTGGAGATATTAGTTTTGATTTATCCGAAAAGACGAAAGAGAGATCAACTCAATCCACGAGGAAGTATCACACCTACGCCCTTCCAACGCCACTTGAAGCGAAGAACTCCGCATCATCAGTCTCTACAAACATCTCATTTTCTTCAAACCTTCCTAAAACCCAACCTGGTCTTCAAATTGAACAAAAACTCATATCTCCAATTGAACCTCATAAACCGCTTGATTCAAAAGACAAGAACTTGCTGCCGAGCCCCACGAGATCGCCAAATACGCCATCTGCTCCTCCCAAACTGATGAAATTACAAGCCTTCTCAGGTCCAATAACTGGAAAATCCGGATCAAACAAACCATTTCCTGCCTCTTATGGCTTCCCCAAAGCAGAGGATTCTGCATCCCATTCCCCAGTTCTTAACATATCAGGACCATCCACCAACTCATCAGCTCTCACATCACCTCTAAAGATTAATGCTCTTCATGAGCTTCCTAGACCTCCAATCTCTTGGCCGCAATCCGGAACACCTAACAATTTCGCCACTCATTCCGCCCCTTTGACCTCCAGAGCTCAGGAGATTCAGACAGGGAGAACTTTCCCTGTTTCATTACCAACGGCGGTGGCAGCTTCGCCGCTCCCGGCTCCTCCGGCTTTTGTTCCAAGAAGCTTTTCTATACCTTACAGAGGTCAAAGAACAACATTAGATATAGTTAACAAGCAGTTAGAGGTTGTTCACCATAGTCATCTTAACTCGAATGAAGAGCTTGATTCGCCCACTTTAACTCCTTTGTCGCTCAAAAACTTCGCTGCCTCGTCTTCCCCAAATGGACAGATGTGATGTTGAGGATTTTAGATTGGTTGACTGATGAGTTTAGAGTTCTTGGGGTTTCTGTTGAATAATTTGGGCTACATTTTTGTTGAAAAGCATTAGAAATTTTTTGGCCTCGGCTTTTATCCACTTGGCGGAAACAATATTTCACAAGTCTTTTGTTGCATGATGGACATGTAATTTCATAATGTTGTTGTGTGTCTGTATATATATATATATATATATAGCTCATTCTTTTGTTGCATAACTGCAATAACTATAGTTATACTAAAAAGACTTTGGAATTACTTTTTTATAAGCAGTACTACAGAAAATGCTTTTATATGCAGGACAAGCTGCAACATTTCTGGTGATATTTGTTAAGGTTTTAATGCTGATTTTTGTCAATAAGTGAATATATTGTGCTCAGGTAATATGTGGTTCTATGGATTAGTTTAAAAAGGGAAATGTACATACACACCCCACAATTTTTATTCATTTACGTATTGAACCCCAAAAATTTGATATTACATGTATATCATTTTGATTTCATAAAGCTATGCATGAAAAATGTTTTGTTCTCTTTTAAATGATTAGTAATAGTCATATGTTTTATTTGATGTCAAAGATTTGAGTGTTATATATGTAAATATGAAACTTTAAGAATTAGATATTGTAAGGTATGGTTCATATATCATAAATGGGACAGATGCTGGAGCTGAACTGGAGGATCCGTCCAATCGGGGGAGTTTTATTATATGGGTTGGGGGAGTGAGGGTAGCACCCCACGGTTTGTTACAGGAGTAATTTAAGTAATTACATATTGTACAATAGGGTTATACATATGTCCTGTTTGTAAGCCTAGGTGAGACTCTGAGAGCTGAATTTTGTATTATGTACTCTTTTCTGAATACTGAAAAAGGAGTCGCCGCTCTGCTCCCGAGGACGTAGGCTTCTTTGGCGAATTTCGTTAAATTTCTTGGTGTTCTTCTGGATTTGTGTTGATTTTTGTTTTTCTTCGCCTTAATTTCTCGACAAATATGTAAATGTATAAGAAATGTGTGGTAAGCATGTTAATGATCCTTTTTTTTTTAAAAAAACAGTTTCAAAATTATTTTATAATATATGTATTTTACATTTAATCTTCCTTTATTTCTATATTTTTTTATTTGATTTAAAAAATAATTTTTTTGTTGTATTAATAGGCGTTTAATGAATTTGATTGTGAGCATTTACATTCATACCACACAATTCTTCTGTAGGTAGATCTCTAAAAAATAAATTATTATATTTACATGCACGAATCTCAAATGAAAATATGACACTCAGTAGGACATAAGCGAAAAAGGTTTTATATAGCTGGCCCCATTTATTGGGATAAAGACTTGTCGTTATTGTTGTAGTTGGTATGTTGTAGTTGTTGTTGAATCTCAAATATTTGATATCACAAAAAAAGGAAAGAAAAACATCAATATTCCTTTTAAAAGCATAATACATATTTTCATGCATGATTTTACCACATCAAAGTATAATAAATATAAGGAAAAGTTACATATTACACATCCCACCCTTAAACCTTCATATTTACATACATGTACTTTGCTGCTTTAAATCTATGCATGAAAAAAATGCACTGTTAATAAATGATACTAGTACTCTCTTTCTCTGCTTTTAAAAATTTGAATGATATATGTGTAAATAGAAAAATTATTTCATACGGACGGCGTATACAGAGATGCATGCGCCGTGCTATCTCCACCGTTGATCAGAGCTTTTATCAATTTTTTTTCTTAAAAAATGGGCCCACCGAAATACAACTTTACTTTGGTCTGATCAACGGTGGAGATCCGAAGGCCATCCACATGGAATAAATTATCGTGTAAATATGCAACTTTAGTCATAATATATGTAAATATATAAGAATTATGTGTGATGTATGCGCAAGTCCCTAAATATAAATATGAAAGCTTTAGGTGTAAGAAACATAAATACATAAGAATTATGTGATGTATATATATAAATATTGTCCTTGTTTATATTATTGCGTTAAGACATTCAATCCTCAATCTCTTTGTGAATGCATTGAAATGCATGCTGCCTATTTTAAGATTTTTTAAGGAAAAAATATTTCATATACTATTTTTTTATACAACAATACTTTTGGATGGTATTATAATATATATATTGACCAGAGTTATTGACAAGTAGTAATATAAAAAACTTAATTTTAAATTTTAGGATTAAGAGTTTAATTATTTATGAGGCATGAAGTCTCAATCAAAGCATTAACCCTGTAATTATTCACACGGTATCTCACATGGCATCTTTTTGGTGGGGACGAAGACTAGTATAACACATGTTGGACCTAATAAGTAGCTTGGATTTGACCTAATTAGTTCTTGATCAGAGGCAAGTATGACTATGTTCATTGGCTCAATAGTTGTTATTGATACATCATGTATCGAAAAATTTATTTCATCTAGCATGAATTTCGAGCGAGCGAGCGAGCGAGAGAGAGAGGAGATTGAAAAGTTGTAGTATTAATTGAACTATTGTGACTCTTATTTCAGTAAACTTATAGTCGAAATGACGTGTTGGTGATACAAATTTGACGAAATAAAAATGAATTGAAGTATCAATACACCTCATTTTTCGTCTGAATTGAATCTAAACTTGTAAGTGAGGGAGAAACTCAACATATAAGAAGAGTTTGGAGCTCTGCTTGATATTTGGCATTGAGATCATTGCTACCTAACACCATTGTTTCACTACCATTGTGATTTAATTATTGTTGGACAAGAATATTTTGATCATTATTATTTTATTATCATCATTAGGAAAAAAAAAAACACTTAATTATTATTGTCTTTATGTCATTGATTGTCTTCTAACAATCATCACTTGAATCCTTTCATATAATTATCATCACCCGACTGTCATCTCTTAGTTATTGACATTATTTGGGACTGTTTTTTTCACTGCTACGCAACGTATTATAATTTGTGAAGCTCTCTTTTCTAATTAAATTAAAAAAATTGAACATCAAATTTTCGTTAAAATAATAGAATATTTCATCTTGATCGCTTCATTAAGTCTTACCTTTTTAAACATTTCATATTAAAAATATGATGTCTTATATTATATAGGGTTTAGGGTGTACTTTTGTGTAAAGGTAGGGCATGCAAAATGTAATAAATTTTCAGCATAAAAAAATTTGGCATTATCTATGAGGATCGTTCCTAGCATAGTATAAAAATCTTTATAATGGCTAATAATCAATCATGCGATCAAAAACATTTTAATCTAGCAAGTGAATGTCACACATGTCAGACTTTAGAGGAGTGTATACTCATAATGTAAATACATCAAGCTAGATTTTATTTGCTTTTAGAGTTGATTAAATAATAGAAAAGAAATATTTATAATATAATCGATTTCTTTCACTATAGAATTATTAGAGAGTCAAGTGAGCCCTATTCCTATCATACTAAAAACTCCACCCCAACTGGTAACCTTATTTCTAAAGAGATTGAGAAACATCTATCTAGCCTTTCATTTGTCACGTAGGGCTCACTTTCAGGCCTAGGACTCCACCTTAGTGAGACTTATGTAATTTCCTATGGATCATAATGACTAGCTAACCTAAATCAAACTTTCATTTCCTTAATTTCAATTGAACTCAAACTGACGCTCATCTTTTGTACTAAATATAGAGAACACAAATTCATGATGAAGTCAAAGAAACTAACCAAAATAATAACTCATATTGGCCAAAGTCAAACTTTTAGTCAACATATAGCTCATTAAAAGCAGGTATCTTATTTTTTCAAGATTTAAATTCCTAATGATTATGGCATGCCGAGGAGACTACGAATCATTCTTGAATCAATCTAAGGTCTCCGAACCCATTTTCAACCAAGTTTGACCAATTAATTCATTATGCACTTAATTGATCAAAATCTCTTCAAATTAACTTAATTTTGTTGCATTTTAGTTTTAGATGAAGATACCGAGCCCATGATTAAGCTTGGACCCATCTACACCAGCATAGATGCTTGGTCAAACCCATTTAACCAAAAAGGTGCATCAAGGTTCATTAAAAGTCATTTGAGCTAAATCCAAATTTCAATTAGGAAAATAAGTTTCAATTAAATCTAAACCATTTTAAGGATAGAAAGAGCCCTACAAGGAATCCCTAATCTAATCCAAGCTTAACGTAAAACCAAATGGTCCTTATCCCATGTAGTTCAAACTAAGCTATGCTAAATCAAATTACATTTAAACTCAATGAAACCTAGATAGACGCTTCCTTGTATCACATTATAGTAAATGAGCCCAATTCTATAGCCATTGAACACTAATAGAGCCTAATATGCCTTTAACACATTAGTGGGGCTCTAAGTATGCACTAGCTCGTTTCCTTTGGTTCTATTGTCGTTCACCTTTTCTCTATGTAAACACAGATTGAGTCGTACTCTTCTCTTCCCTGATCTTCCTGATCGGAATCACACATAGAAACTCTTCCATCTCTACATATAGTCGCTCAACTTGCGAAGCCCTAGCTGCATCACATGTTCATTCTTATGAATGCCTTTATCCCATGATCTAGCTAGTGCGACGTTGAAATGAATATATCACGGGCCTTTATCCCATGATCCCTTCCCAGTGGTGAGGATGAATCCCCGTGCCTTCTTAATTAGCACAACTGTATGATGAGGGAGAAATGACTGCGACGGTTAGGCTCTCATACCATAAGGAAAATAGTTTTGGTAAAAGGTCATTTCCTTCATTGATGAGTTGAGCATAATTTTGATAAAATGCTCTTTCCTTCATTCATGAGTTGGGCTTCTGTAGAGCATTATAATCCTTTCACAAATAACTCATAGACTTCTTCTATATATTCCATTTAAAACTAAAGCCCTCAAAATAAGATACAAATCTCAACCATTAGGCTTAGACTCCTTTAGACATACAATCTCACTAAGAATTTGTTGAAATTGAAGCTCAAATAAGCATGAATTTAATCTAACAATTATTGTATCAAAAAATTGATTGACATATCAACTATTATTTTTTTGCTTTAAATTAGTGTAATATATTTAAACTAGATTTAATGGTTTTAACACTTAGGGTACCTTTGGTTTGGGGGCAGGAGCACGAGCGGGGGCTGGTTGTGAATCACGACCGTTTGAGACGACTTTCCGGGTGCGTTGGAACACCGTTTTGGCTAAACGTGAGCAACATATCAAATCCCACGGGTCGCGTTTGAGCGATGTCTTGTTAGCCTGGTTAGCCCTTCGTCGCTTTTGCCCTAATTCCCTTTCCCTCCGTTCGACGTTGAATCTCTCACGCTCCTCTATTGTTCAACGAAGCCATCCCTCCATGTCGCTTCTCTGCTATTCGACAAATCTGTCATTCGTCGCCCCTACCTTCTGGATTCGATCACAAACCGCCAGGTACTCTCTATTCTCCCCAATCTTGCGATTCACATGTTTTCTAGCTGCCTCTGTAGGGGCATATGGACTCGGTAGTTCTTGTGTTGAGCTCCAAGATTTCATGGACCTCTCGACGAGTGTTCTGCCACTGTGGACTTCAACCTTCCTTACTAACGTCACGTCAGACACATAGCTATGGGAGAAAGTTATACATGTGCCCGTGGTGGACAAACGATTTGAAGAAACGTGACTTCTTCCGATGGGCAGATAGTCCGACATATTTCACTGTCGATAGCGATCGGGATTTGATGGTATCCCCGAAGGACGACGTAGCCCGTGACATACGCTAGATGGATTTTAAATTCAATATTATGTAATTTTCATACTTTATTTTTTTTTATTACACTTGACACTCACTGTTATGTAAGGTATGTATCTTATTTTTCTACTGTTCTGAAGTAGTTTTTTGTTTATCAAGTATCAGATATATTGCTATGACAGTTCTATTGCAAACAACATTACTGTACAAGTGTAGAATGATCAGTTATCTATAAACAATTGTCACAAATTTGTTTTTAAACTCTAAAGAACAAACAACAACCAATTTTTTCGCAACAGTTTTTTTTGTAGAAGCTTTATGAGACAGTTGTTATAATCCAACTTATGGGATAAGTCCCAACCGCCACTAAGAGATCCTTACCATAATAATAAATATAGCTGCCTTAATTTAAAATTTATTTGCAAAATACTACTTCTATGCCTAATGTCACGGACAAATAGTCCCACATCAGCTAGGTGTAGGGCCGAAAAACAGTATTTAAGTCCTGGGCTGCCCACCACCCACAAGGGCTCTTTTGGGAGGTGACAAGTGGTATCAGAGCAGATTACTGCCCGTCAGGTGTGTGGACTCTCCATTCTCCATGGTCCAGTGGGACACACGGTGGAGCCGATCCGTGACGAGGGCGTCACGTGATTGGGTAGAGGAGAATGTCACGGACAAATAGTCCCACATCAGCTAGGTGTAGGGCCGAAAAGCAGTATTTAAGTCCTGGGCTGCCCACCACCCACAAGGGCTCTTTTGGGAGGTGACACTAATGTCGATAATCAAACAAATAATAATAATATTTTAAAATAAATTTTAAGAAAATGGTATATCCTCTGTCTCTCCCTCGCTCCGTATAAAACGAGACGGGATTGCGGTACAGGTCACGCCACGTTCGTTCGTTGAGGGTTCTGAAACCTGTAAAGGGAGAGCGACCGGCAGACGATTTGGAGAGTGAAAACCATCGCCGGGAGGTTTAGGGTTGCGAGAGTGAAAGAGAAAGCTAAGAAAGGGGAAATTAAAATGCGGGTCGCCGTAGTAGGAGCAGGGATTTCTGGCCTCGCGGCGGCTTTCGAGCTCTGTAATGCCGGCGCAGAGGTGGTGATTTATGAGAAAGAAGATCACCTCGGCGGCCACTCTCGCACCGTCGCCGTCGACGGAATCAATGTCGATCTCGGATTCATGGTCTTCAATCGGGTCAGACTCTCTCCCTCTCTCTCTTTCTTGTTTTGATTTCCGGCGAGGAAGATAATGCATCATCTTCGTCTCGTTGTTTGGTCTCATTTGGATCGTTATGGAGTGGATTCTGCTCTTCTGATTTTATCTGCATTTTTTTAATTACGAAATTATATAAACATGTCGATTTAGGTTTAATGTTTTGGGATTTTTTTATTTCTTCGGATTATAAATTTATGATTATGAATTTGTTTTTTTTATATATATATTTAAATGCGGATTAATGCTTCATAAGATTTCATGCTGAATTTTCTTGGGCGGTACTCTGTAGAACTGCAGAATATTGGAAAATATATTACATCAGTTATCAGGACTCCGATGTAGAGTTACGTGTGAAGTCGTGTTATTCAGGTGTTATTATATTTTGAGAATATTTTCGATATTATATGACACAATAACAAATCGATAATACTTGAATAACATACAATAACATCTGAATAACACACAATAACACCTAATAACACCTGCTGAATAACACAATAACACCTGAATAACACGAGAGGAATATTCCTTGTGTTACAGGACCGATCACCTCCGACTCCTAAAGTAACTCTACGTGCAAAGTCCTGATGTAATATTTTTTCATAATATTGAGAGCGAAAGTTATTTGGGGAATTTAGGTACATATCACCCAAATCTTATATATTTATATATCTAACATCTAAATTTTAATTTTCTTACATTTATACCATCTAAATCTTTTATGTAAATACATATGAGCTGAGAGGTGTTTATGTGCATTTTACGAGTTAATTCTTAGTGGAATTTACACACATGCCACACAATTCCTTGTATTTACATATCTAAGACCTAAATTTCCTTTTTTTTTTCTTATATTTTATTTATTTTATCTTGTTTTGTTTTTTCCTTAAAAATTGTTTATACTTCCAATTTAAAAGCTTCTTATTTACAATTTTTACATTTAAAAAATGAATTAAACTAATATTTGATTTTTTAATAAGCCATCTAATATTTAAGCATTTTTATTTTTTACTTTTTACATTTTTAATTTCATATGGATATCACTTTTAAGTTCTTTGAAGTAAAAGAAAAAAAAATATATTTGTTTCATGGTGATCTTATTTATTTTTTTAAAAAAGTATTTATGACCAGGGGTGTGAGTGAACTAGGTTAACTCATTAGTCGGCCTAGGCTCGACTCGACAAGTGAATCATGAACTTCACTCGATGAACTAGCAAGCTGAACTAAAACCAACCCCAGTTCGACTCATTAGTTTGTGAGCTGACTCGTTTAAAATATAATTAATAAAAATATATCAAAATAAAAAAATACTTTAAATAAAAAAATGAAAAAAAATAATATTTTATATAAAATAATTTGCTATTAATTTTTTCTAAATGCTCGTTATATTTATCATTTCTTCATAGGATTATCTTAAATTAATATTTTTTGTCTTTCATGCTTAGCAAGCCGGTTTGTAAATCTGCTTGAGCTCATAGAATTGAACTCGAGCTAGAACTCAATCAATTAATCAAACTCGAGCTCAAATCGAGGGTGGCTTCCAGTTGGCTTGGCCCGTTCACACCTCTGCTTACACAAAAATCAATTCTTACGCATTTAAATATCTAGTATATTTACATTTATAATTATTTTTGGAGCGCATAAATACTGCTGTGTAGGGCACTACAAATATCATTGTCAAGTAATGTTGGCTTGGGCTACAAGGGCCCATCTTGATGCCCACAACAGCTGGGCTGTCCTTTTTTTTTTTCAGTGGGCTTGTCAACAAACTCCACGCGGGTCCCCAAAGCGATCATTTTTTACTTCCGAATTATGATCAGATCCAACAAAATTCTTCTAAATTAATTCAATAATCCATTGTTGAACTTCTTATTCCTCCGTATAGTGGCAAACAAGAGGAAAGATGTCCTAAATAGACCCTAAATCTAATATCCAAACTTATATAAATGGACATGCATATACATCCCACAATATTTGTATATTTACATATCAAACACCTAAACTTTGTATTTTATACTTTTATGCTACCCAAATCTTTCATCACTTCAAAAGCATCGCTATTTTAACTCTTAAAAAATGATAGCACACATTTTGATGCAAAGATAAGATGACACATATATATAAAGATGAAGTTTTGGTGGTAAATATGTAAATACATAAAAATTGAGTAGTATGCATGTAAATCTTCCCAAACTCATTATTTTTTAAGGTCAGCTCTTGGTTTTCTAAGGTTGAATAAATTTAATTATAATTAATGTATTGAATGATGCTTGGCAATCGAATAATTGCAGCATGTGTGAACACCTTAGCCTATTATTTGAAAGTCTACGATGGCAGCAAATAAATTAATGGTGGCACAAAAAACAAATATCTATGGAAGTTGATTAAAACAAGAATCTATTGCTTTCTGTCTTGCAATAGATTCTCTTCCCGGTCTGCTCCCCCTCATGCCCACGGCTGTAGATCTTGTTTTACTCCTTGGATTACAAACAAAAAAATTTTGTAATCGGTTAAATAATAATAATAAGATTAAAACACAAATATTATAAACCGGGACCCAAAAATTAACTTGATTTAATTTTAAAGACTTTAACTGTGTGTTTGTGGCAGTTTGTGTTTTTCAGGATAAGCTGCTTATCTTGAAACGTAGCACGCGGGCGGGCTGCGGGGTTCTATTAACTGCCCCAAACGGGCCCTTGGAGTTATTTAAATGAAACGCAAACAAATAATATTAGTAAAAATATTCACAAACAAACGCTTCGTTCTTCTCTTTTTGTCCTTTAGCGATAATCTTTTTATCAAGATAAAAATAAAATAAATTTAAAAATTTCATAATTTCCTTTTTTTTTTAAGTCTGAATAAATTATAATATGTAAAAACTTATTATTCATTAGCTTTCACTTTCACTCGATAAACTCAAAAATATTTCGTTTTTTATCCTAAACATAATTATATGTTTATGTGTTAACATTATAGCATATGCATATGTTCAGAAATTAGTAGGCATACTAATAATGAAGCATAATAATGAAGAATCATATTGAAAGATAACTTCACATATGGAACTGAATGATTAAAAAAATTCATGAAAATTAAATAACTTGTAAATATTTACAAATATTGAAAAAAATAATAATCTTATGTATTTTTGTGTTCTTAATCAACAGGTTACATATCCCAACATGATGGAATTCTTTGAGAAACTTGGTGTAGAGATGGAGGTCTCGGACATGTCTTTCTCTGTGAGCTTGGAAGGAGGGAAAGGTTGCGAGTGGGGAAGCCGAAATGGACTGGCTAGTCTATTTGCACAAAAAGCCAACTTTTTTAATCCTCACTTTTGGCTTATGCTTCGAGAAATCATCAAGTTCAAGGATGACACCCTCAAGTAAGTTGAATCGACGATACACGTATTGTGACTATATTTCGTGCACTCAAATACTTAATCAAGGCATGACAAGCTTTTCAAATACTCAAAACACGTAAATATTGGTTTGAATGCTTTTAAAAATACGTTAAAAAATACTCACAAACATTAAACAACAAAACAATAAACAAAATTGATCCGAAACAAGCCCTTTGTTTGCGCTCATCTTAACAGGCTTTGATTGGTATAAAAGTGTGTTTTTACATAATTGTTGGTGTTAAATAATAAAATGTCAGCTCTTTTTTTTTTTGCACTAATGGTCAAACTTTGACATAATTGAATGAGAAAAGCGAAAATGTTTATGTTTAAGGTACCTCACAGAGCTTGAGGAGAACCCCGATTTGGATCGAAATGAAACTTTAGAGGCTTTTATAAAGTCACATGGATATTCTGAGTTGTTTCAGAAGGCTTATCTTGTAAGATTATTAGTTTTGCAGTTTGCTTGTTTTTTTTTCTACTTGTAATTTACACTATTGTTTATTAACAAAAAATAAAAAATGACAAAACCATATAGGTTCCAATGTGCGCATCAATATGGTCCTGTCCTTCAGAAGGAGTAATGAACTTCTCAGCTTACTCTGTACTGTCATTTTGCCGCAATCATCATCTTTTACAGGTTAGATTTCTAAATCATTTTTATCAATTTAGTTTTAAAATGCAATTTGAGAGATTTTTTTTTTTGGGCATTTACATACATGCCGCCGAATTCTTAAGTATTTACATATTTAACATCTGAACTTTGCTTTCTATGTTTACACTGTCCAAGTCTTTTATATCACATAAATAATAATACTATTGTAACATTTTAAAACTGAAATACACATTTTCATGCATAGATTGGTAAGATGGCATCTATGCAAAAATTGAAGTCTTGGTGTTGGATATGTAAATACATAAGAAGTGAGTGGTATATATGTAAATCTTCCATTTTTTTGGTATCTTTGAGCATCCAAATGTTCAACCTGAATGAAATAAGCATATAGATGTTAACAGATACAATATATATGGGCATCATCAAACATGATGTACAATATGTAAGAATTCCTAAGAGGAATATGATAATATTTAATCATAACACATTGGTAATTATCTAACTTTTTTTATGTATCTAAGTACAAATTGTATATAAATCCCTCTGTATTTCGAAGTATAGGCTAAAATAACCATGAAAAAAGCAATAAATAGTGCTTCAAATTTTAAAAATCTTGGTAAAAATATTTTTTAAAAGTCACACTAGATAATTTCAAAAATATGTTTTTTTAATAATTTACTAATTCCACAAAGAAGTCAAATTAAGTAAGTTTTTTATTTTATTTTATTTTCATACTTGTGATGCTAATAAAAAATGTAAAAATAATACTTAATGTGGACTTTAGAGTGATTTGTAATATGATAAAGACGGTTTGTATATCAAGCATAAAACACATAAAAAATAATGTAATATAACAAGATAAATTTTAATATACTAAAATTATTCCATAATAAAATTTCAAAATATTGATGAGCATAATCAATCATAAAATTAACAGAGAAAACTAATCAAATAAGTACATTACAAACATACAAATCTTATCATATTTCAAAATTAGGTCATCATGTATGTATCAAAATTTTATAAGGGCATGCATCATAAAATATCTTAATAAAACTATATATTTATAATAATTGATATTGTCTGCAGAGAAGCACAATCAAAGCTTCTAGGAATTATCCCTCTTAGTGCAAACTAGAAGTGCACTCTCTAGGTCTAAATTCTTAAAATTTGTCTCAAATGAGACAACTGTTTAAGTGTTTACTCTATTTGCTCATCCTTTGAATTCCTCATTAGACGGGTAGTGATGTGGGTGCAGAAGACTTTTGCGCGAGCGAAAAACTCCTGCGCAGGCAGGAGCAGAGGACCAGCCTGACCAGTTCATTTGGGGGCCAGTCCAACGGAATCTTGGGCCGAGCGGCCCAGGCGAGGATCCTATAGAGCGAGCAGCCTTCCGCGACCCTCTTTCCCATCCTTTTCCATTTCTTCTTCACATGGAAACAATTTGATTGCTAATCTCTGAGATTTCTTGCCTCCCCACCTTTTTCTTTTGTGTGAGAGTTTTCTTCTTCATTTATTTCCTTTTCTTAATGCAAGAGTTTATTTATTTGATGTTCCAAAGTTTGGCGTTAGCTTTTGTTGTGTGTTGATTTCAGATTCCTGTGTGGAGACTTTTTTTCGCTTTATGGGTTGTATCTGAGGAGATGACAGCGCTCCGACTGTATCCTACTTTGAGGTGGTGATTGTATGTCTCCTTTTATCTTCTCTACTCCTTTTCCTCTACTTCCCTTAGCCATTGGCCACCCCCAACAGTTCCCCCTGCACTGTTGAGCCCTTTTTTTTTGCTGCAACAACCTGCTATCCAGGTCTTTCAGGCCCCTTCTGGCAACCAGTTGGCTCCCCCACAACAGCCACCTTGTTGTCCCAGCCTTCCCACCTATTATCTTGCATTTCCAATTTGCTACCCCACCTTCCAACCTACCTCTTAGCCACCCAACAAACCTTCCTGCCACCTCAACATGCTGCCTCCCTCCTCCAATCCACCTATTAGCCCTCTCCCGCATTCACCCTTACTGGCCTAAGCCTCCGGATCCACCTGACTAACCTCCACTGCCCTTAGGATACACTTTTGAAGTGTTTGATTGTGTTGTCCTATGTTTTGGGATGTTATTTTTAGTTTTTGTGTATTGTAACCCTATTTCTCTATTAATAAAAGTTGCTTTTGTAGTTTGGGTCATTTCTTCCAATATCACGTAGTCTTTGAAATTTCAACAAGTTGATTAGCTTAAATTCAACAATGTTAAATTTTATGTCATTGCCAATAATATCAAACACAATAGTAACCATAATTATCATCATTATTAATTACCTTAAGAGACAACTAATGCATTAAGGCTTGAGAATTTTATTTTATGATATCTTAAGAACTAATTGAATGGAAACATATCAATATCCACAATAAAGTTATTAGCCTCAAATTATTTAACAATTTCCTCTATGATACCTAGGGCCGTAAAAAGAATTAGTTGTCTGTGAATAACTGGTGTTCAGTTCATTAAATAGTTCGTGTTAGAATAGTTTGTTAGTAAAGCGACTCGATATGAACAATTTTTTTAAGTTCAAATTATAAGCATGCACAATATGAGAAATCATTTATTTGATTATGTTGGCTCATTTAAACTAGAAATAATAAAAAAAAAATTATATATTATTCATATAATATTATACTATATATATTTATATCTATGTATAAATTACACAACTTTTGTGTGAGTGCGATTTTGCGCCTTTTATTGTATAGAAATTGTTCAGGTTCGAATCTAATACACTACATTAAGTTATCTAATTAATTTAAACCAAGCAACTTTGAGCAGAGCATGAACACTTTCCTCAAGAGCAATTTCCAACACAATTCAATTTCGAACAAAATTAATTTCAAAAGAGTTGAACACCCAAGACTAAGCTCATTCAAACTCAACTAGTTTACCTACAATTCTATATGTCGCTCAAATTATATAATTAAGGGTCCGTTTGGGGCAATTGCTGCTTACCGACAACTTGATTGCCCCAAGAAACTGCTGCGAGGAAGCTCATTGACTGTTTGTTTTTTTTCAGTTTGAAAACAGTTGTGTGACAGCTGTTTCTGGATAAATGACCATTTTGCCAATTAGCACTAAAACTGTTTAAAACAAAATTATTATAACAATATAGTTATATTGGAGAAGCAAAAAACTACTTAAAAAGTTGAAAAAATAAGATACACACCTCACATATCAGTGAGTATCAAATGCACTTAAAAAAGAAGAAAAATATGAAAATTACATTTAAAAAAATGATAATATTAATTTTAAATTCCAGACGATGTATGTCCTGAACAACATCTTCCCTCCAGGGATGCCATGCGAAACAAGCAACATATGCACAATGGAAAAATAACCTTAAGCCACAACCAACAATAATCGTAAGCTACAACCAGCATAACCCCAAGATACGCCCACCAATAACCCCAAACTAGAGCCACCAATAAGCCAAAGCCACAATCACCAATAACCCCAAGCCACATGAAGCTGTGGGTGCTCTAAGAAGCCACCAACAGAGGACAAATATATACACCAACTCATAGCACCATCTCACCATCAAGACTGAAACATATATCCCAACCCACAGCCACCATCACATCAACAAAACACAACTATATGCCCTGACCCACCTGTACTATCTCATAAGCAAATCACAAGCATATGTCCCAATCTACAACTACCATTATATCGGCAAAGCACAACCAAAAATACCTCAACCCACAGCCACCGTCTCATCGTCAGCTTTCCAAGAGCATGTGCCCCGATAGCAAAAACGTCGATTTACGCCTAAATATATGAAAATCGGGTGCTGCGAATGGAAATGCTCCCTTTTACGCATAAAATCTTTTTTTTTTTTATTCAGTAACTTTAATTTCCCGAGAAATCCAAAGCGCCCGACCATATGCATTCTCAGTAACGAACCGAGAGAGAATGGCCGAGGGAGGTTCTAATCCGATCAAACATGGAAGCAGGCCGTGTGGGATCGATGACTAACTTTACTGTTCACCTTGTTTGTGACGAGGGACTTGTGGAGAAGATCGGAATTATTCCTTTGGTTTTACACCAAGGGAGTTCCTTGTGTCGAGGTCGCTGCGTGGATGCCGTCAAGGTCAAGCTCGATGAGGCAAGTCGTGTGGATGCCGAGTGAGAGAGAGATCAATGGGAGGCGCGGGGCGATGTCGAGGCTAGGGCATGGGAGAGCGGGTCTGGAACGGAAAATGCGAGAGAAAGAGAGCTGGCGAGGCAAAGCGGGAGATAAGGGGTTGCGCTGGAGGTGGTGATTATCTTCCTATCCCCTTTCACATTTTTGCCACGATGCTCCTAGCCATCTCAGAGGGCAGCACTCGGCCCGAACATCTCTCGTTTGTTGTTTTTCACTGCAGTCTCCGATTCCAGCCCTTCTTGCTGGCTGCCACCGCCCCTGTCAACCGCCCTTTGTTGTCCAGCACTCCCCTGCTTCGCCCCTTCGCTGCCGTCTTCTGGAATGTTTTCTTGTAGTTCCCTTGCTGTTCCACCTTTTCTCACCGCGACTCGCTCTCGGATCTCGGATTGCCACCCCACTTGATACTGGAGTTAATTCCAAGAACGAAAAAACACAAATATTATTCCTGGAATTTAACCTCAAAACAGAAAATAAATGACCGCTACCCGCAAAGGACACCCTTGGGTGAGGACGAGAGGTGGTGGCACCGGCAGAACAACAGGTGCAGTGACTAGAGGGGTACTTGCGGCAGCAACAGGGGTAGATAGGGAGGAACTCACGGATATGGTAGGGAGGGCTTCACAGCTACAACAGGCCTGATGGGTGGTTGGGGTTAATATGGGCGGCAGACTGTCACGAGAGGGGAGAGGAAAAGCTGCGGCTGTGCTATATCCAAAGGAAGGGAACTGGCAGCAGCCAGTTGGGAATTACGGTAGTTAACGGTAGGGAAACAGTGCTGCTTGGGCGTGGCTACGGGAAGGGAGCTGGCGGGCCGCAGGAGTGGCTGACCAAGGCTGATGAGGCTAATTCTGGGCATACTGTGACTAGGAGTGGGAAAGAGGTTTTGGCTGCGGGGAAGAACTCCCGTTTGTTGGTGGCTGGGAGCATGGGGGTGCAGGGAAAACCAACAAGTGACAAGGGCGGAAGCTGGTGATAGAAGTCGGAGAAGATAATCACCACCGGGGAGAGGGATACCACCGGAGCACCACCCTAATCATCTGTTACAGTTCTCAAAGGGAAAATAGGTCGCCAGCGGCTGTCCTCACAAACGAAAATCAGAAAATAACTTAAGCTGAACTCGAAGGCATAAAAAAAACCCATATAAATAGAAGAGGGATGGGCTGGGAAATAAAATGCCAAGCTGGTTGAGCTTTTAGAGTAAAAACACCGTGTCATTTGCTGCCCTCTCTGTCTCAGCCCTTCGCTTCACTGCCAACGTGATTCCAACACTTCCTTTTGCTGTCCCAATCACCCCCAACCCATTTCAGCCACCTACCTCCACTCCTTGACCACCTAGCCGGCCTCCACCTCCCATGGATCGGGTCCTAGAGCGAGTTTGTGTCATATTTGTTGTAAGTTCCTTTTTAAGTGTGTTTGATTGTAATTGTCTATTTGCTTTTATTAATAATATCTGTTATTTTTATTATGATTTAAGTTAACTCCGGTATCACCTTCAGGTCCAGGTAGGAGAGTGGAGATTTGGAAGATTGGATAACTGGTTTAGCTTATTTAGGCATTTTTGTTGTTTTAATCATTGGATATGACGACCAACATATATTGTTTTCTAGCTGGAAACTTTATCATAAAATAACAAAATATTATTTTAAAAATTCAAACTTGGAACTTTTGAATGGTTCTAATAATTGATTCCAAATTCATAAATTATTTTAAATAAGAAAATTTAAAAAGAAAATTTCTGTAAAAAAATAGATTTATTTCCTAACAGATATTTTGCTGAGAAAATAAAATTGATAACGTAAATCATTTGTGTTTTGGTGAAAGATTACTTTGATGAATCCAACGTCAAATATTCTGTGGAAAGTTCTATGCAAATGAAGATATTTCTTGTAGTTAAAACAGTGGGGTATACCTTTCTTGTATGATCATTTGAGCTAGAATTTTGTTCTATCCCACTGTTGTTTTTTTCTTTCTTTTTGCATTTCAGCTGTTCAATCGGCCTCAATGGCTTACAACGAAGCATCGTTCACATGACTATGTCAATAAGGTAATTTATTGGGTTTTGCATTAAATGGCTTTTTGTAATTCTATTCTGGAATTTGTCTTTTTAATGCCATTCTTTTACAAGAAATCTGAAACTATTAAGCTTTTCAGTTAAGAGAAGAGCTAGAGGCTAGAGCTTGTCAAATTAAATTGGGATGTGCAGTAGAATCGGTATCTAGCACCGATAACGGTAAATTGTATTTTCCTCGTGTGTTTGCCTGCATATTTTTCTCGGAAGGACAAGAAAATTTGGCATGCCATATAGCTTTTATATATATTTTCAACACGTTTGGATATCAAAAACATTACACGGTGCACTTTTTCATTCTAAAGTATATCTAGCAATTATAAATTTATAAAATGTATGCTATACTTTTGTTCAAGTCCACGTCTGCAGCTTATGTAAAATAGAAACGTATGTGGCCATCTTATGGTGTGAAGGAGCAAGGGAACAATAAAAAGTAAAATAATACTGTTGAACAGTCCTGACTCCTGCATGCCCAAATTTTCTTGTAGTTTTTGATTCTAACCTTAATTTTTGTTGTTCTTCTATTTTTCCATTCCAGAAATGTTTTATTAAGTATTATTTCTAACATCTTAAATCAAAATGTGAGTTTGTAAATTGCACAACTGTTTTTCCTTCTTTTAATACTTGTCAACCTTTTTCTTGTTGGTTCATACTGATTATCTTCATGAACTTACAAGCTTTTTGGACATTTCTAGATAGCTTTATTATCATTTTTTACCTGCCTAGGTAGCTAAATGCAATATTGGCGCTATCATTTTAATCGAGGAAGCTTATATGTCATACTATAACCTTTAGGATGGCTTGGTTTAACAATTCACATTTTAAATCCATGTTTGAAGGTTTCATGCATTTTAACGTTTGTAAATGTAAAAAATTGCTTATTTTTCTTTACGAATAATTGTGAGTTTTGAATAACCTTTTTTTCACTGAATATATAGATAATTCAGTGAGTTTTGAATAACCTTTTTCTCACTGAATACATAGATAATTCACCTATAAATAGGCGTTTACAAGAGATAAAACGAGGAAAAAAATCTTCCTACAATGAAGTAATTCCTATAATTATGGAATAAACATAAATACCTATAATTAAGGAATTACTCTTTTTATACTATTATGACTAAATATAGCAAGTGCAAAATTGAATTAAAGTAAATAATAATGAGCGTAATTCCACACTCCCCCTCAAGGTGGGTTGTACAGATTGTACATGTCCAACTTGTTGGTTAGTTCATCAAAACTGGACTTAGGGAGAGCCTTGGTGAGAATATTTGCGGTTTGATCTCTAGAAGGACTATAGACCAATTCAATGATTCCATTGTCCACCTTCTCTGAAATGAAGTTCCGATTAATCTCAATGTGTTTCGTTCGGTCATGATGAATAAGATTCTTTGCGATACTGATTGCAGTTTGATTATCAGAGAACATCTTGATAGAATTTTCTCCCATAATTCCAAGCTCTTTGAGAAATCTTTTGATCCACATTCCTTCACAGATACCAAACACCAGTGCTCTGTATTCTGCTTCTGCGCTACTCCGAGATACCACCGATTGTTCCGATTGTCTCCATGTCACTAGATTGCCGCATACATA